AGATCAATATTTACTGAGCAACTATATTTCTAATCTTAAGGTAATGGTGAACTTATGTCCTGCACCAGGCTGTTTGATTCATTGAAAACTCTAAGATTCACCATCACTGCTATAGGCTGATTATAGTTTGACCCACATTGTAATTTTATTGTATAAAATATTCTGAACAGCTTCAGTGGCCACCCACTTGGGATTCTCCAACCCATCTTGGAGATTCAAGAGCTATTTTTTTTCTTGTGTGTGCTTTAAACAATTGAAATGGACTTACATTTCTATCTGAAGTGACTTCCATTTATTTTGATACATCTTTTCCCCATGATGATTTACAGGATCTTCAAGCCAATATAAATATTTTATGTATATTTGAATATTCAGGTATACACCTGCACAATACCTCAGCAATATCTTTTGGCAAGAAAAACACTGAAGAGTAAAGGCTAGACACAATTACTAGGTACAGTGAAAAGCTGCTGCAAATATTTCTGAGGTAAGAAGGCACCACATACCTATTTAACTAAGAAAACCACCCTTACAACACAGGATGATTTTATTTTTATGTAGGACCTAGAATACGTAAGCTGCCAATTAGGTACTGAATGGCAGAACAACGTTCCCAGTTTATGCCATGAATTCGTAGGGAATGGGTTCCAACAACTCAGGTTCCTTTCCATTGGTCCTCACAAAGTGTGCTTGTCTGGGAGGAGCAGGCTGGTGCTTCAGGTGAACCAGGTACCTTTTTATTTGGCTTCCTTCATTTTCTGATCATTTTCCTTGGCACATTTCAGGAAGCTATCACGACTTGAGTGTTTCATATACTCAATATGCACATTAATCCTCTTGGCAAGTATCTTGCCCTTAACTTGCTTGTTTACAATGCCAACAGCATGCTGGGTAACATTGGAGACCCTTCCTGTTTTGCCATGGTAACATTTGTGAGGCATCCCTTTTTGCAGTTTTCCTTCCCATGATGTCTACAATATCACCCTTTTTGTAGATTCGCATGTATGTGGCCAAAGGAACAACCCCATGTTTTCTAAAAAGCCTGGAAAACATATACCTGGTTACCCTCCTCTTGCCCTTTCTGTTAGTCAGTTTGGCAAATTACAAGATGGTGGTTCCGGCCAAAAGGGTGGAGCTGTTTTTCTCCTTTCCAATAAAACACCCCTAATATCTTCCTTTGGTTTGTGACTTTATTCTTCAATGTCATAAGAACACGAACTCAGTACATTGGACATGTATCAGATTGGGAATTATTTTCCCCCGTAACAGTATGAATGTAAAAGCATGTATGTGTGTGGTAGAGTTTGGGGTAAGATAGTTTAGAAATTCAAAGGAGAAAAGAATCAGATATTCGTTGAGTTTAGTATGAACCCCCATGAATAGTGTGTGCAAGGTATGGGATGGAAATTGTGCCAATAAAGACACTTGTGACTAAGAAGGCCAAGATCAAGATCCACGCAACCCTGCCTCACTAAAGCCTTTAAAACCAGACTTCTCTATGCTGTATGATTGAAAACCTACCAAGCGCTGCAATAAACAAGACCTAAGATGACTATAAATCAATTCTTCCTTTTTAAGTTTAGTTTTGTTTTCATTTTAATGTATTCAGCAGGCTAGACACAGGATTTTAACTGCTTTTCTACTGGCATGTAGGGACAAGCAGCTACAAAAAATACTATTTTGCTCTTTTATTAAGTTTTCTTAGTTTTTGGCACACAATTGGACGATAAAATCTACACCTCGGAAGGTATGTGCTGTTACTCGAATCAACATATAAAAATACTGCCTTTCTCTGCACTACATTTGTTATAATCTGGTTTTTCAGACCATTTGTTCTAACATGGCTTTTTAGTTATGAACAATGGGAAATTACCACCTTTTTTTAACTTTAAAACAAGTGCTCACAAAAGCCGATTTGTATTTACTGTGATGTTCTGTCACATTCATTCTAATCAGGCACCAAGGGTATAAGACATCAGATGCTTAAACATGTTTTTCTGTACTTTGCAGTAAGTTCCAGAGGCACTAAGAAACACAGTTCTGGGCAGAAGATAAAGGAGTTTACAGCTTGTGGAAGTGGTAATTAGAGCCAATTACAACTTGGCTTATCTGCTTTGTCATTAAAATACCTGCCATATCTTTCATTTTTCTAAAGAGAGGAAAAGAAAAGGTATAGCTTAGTTGGAGAAAGAGTTAGCCAAAGGGAAGGGATTTCTTGGGCTATTCACAAACTTACTGTGCAACATTAGGAACACATGTTGCCTTTCGGCATCACAGTTTTGCTCAGTTTAACTCTAGGTGCTAAGAGACTTGGGAAATTATATGGCCCAGTTTTCTGTCTTCTAGTGGCTAAGGCATTATCATGGCTCCCCTTTTCAAATGAGAAATGAAAACCCCAGAGAATTTAGCTAGCATATGTCTTCTGACTCAAGTGCAGTGCTTTTGATCTTGGTCCCATTCAGCTTGTCACGTGGAAAATGTAATTATTGTCGTATCTCTCACAGGCTGTCTACAGTTTTAACACATAAGAAACATGAAGTACTTTGAATACACTATGGGATTTTGTATTCTCTTTAAAAAACAACAACAAAAAAACAACTAAAAATTTGACTTTGATGAGTTTTTAAAAAAACTGAATGGAAATTTACACTGTATAGTATTGCCAATAGACACATTAGCACTTTTTTTTTGCTAGCAATCTATTCCTTTTTCAAAATTTTATTGATAAACAGATGTATACACATTAGCACTTTGAATGCACCGTTTCTTGAGAAAAAGTAACAAGAACTGAATTAGATCTTTGAAGAACTGGCGTGAAGACAACTTTGCTCAGATCAAGTTCTGCAAGTAAATATGAGAGTACGCTGAGAAGCAACAAAAAAAGAACAGGCATAGCACTAATGGACAAATCAAGCCTCACAATCAAAACTACCAAGTGAAACTTGACGTGTAAAATGAGAAATCCTGAACAAAGTTGGGCTCCCTATGGGAAGGGTAAAGGAAAAGTAACAGGTTCTTACAAATACCATGTATAAAGCTATTGTATAAAATTTGATTTTTTTTCCTTTTGCCCTGCAAACTGTCTGTAGTGTTGTCACTGAAGGCCTAGAGTCTCTATCTTCTGCCTTTCACTATTCAAATTACTCCAGCCCAAATCACCATCATTACTCACTACTTTGAAGACATCAGACTCACAAACCCTTGCTATCTTCCATATTGAATTACTCATTCAGGATTCCAGGGCCATCACTGCATTCCAGTCTTGTCTTCTTCCCCATACTTCTCCACTTTTATGCCTTCGCTTTTGATACTAGACTTACTTACTCCTCATATACCTGAAATAAACCCCATCCTTACATCTGATAGTCTTTCTTCACCTCTCTTGAAAACCAACATCTGTTTAATGTGAAAACTACAGGGCTGAGCCTGTTTAATAAGTAGAAGTCTCTTGGTGGTCATCTGATATATTTAGCTAAGATTAAAGCTAAAATCTCTGCTCCCTTACATGTGCCTATCAGGGAGAGGCTATACTAAGGACAGAGTGTCCAAGAGCAGATTATAGAGGTGTGTTGCTAAGTAAACTGCTTGTGATCAATTCTGAGTATTACAGGGGCCTACCTACACAGTTCTATGATTTGCTTCGTCTCTTCAATTAAGGTCCTATCCTTATAAACCTTAATGAAGGCCTCAATGTTCAGTCTCCTTTTCTTGGTGAAGATACATATGCAGTGGTCATTATCAGAACCCTACAATGAAAGGAGAAAGGGTGATTCCCTTAGCTTAGTAGAACATTGGTGTCAAGGTTACTCCAAAGCAATGGCAGGAGTATGCAGTATATCATAAGACAATTTTATGACAGTGTTACATTGCAGGAAGTTAAACTCTTACAGGTGGGGTGCTGTCCCATTATTCGATCCAACGCTAGTGACATAACAGTTTGGTTACCTGGTAGACACACTTAGCATAGACACAGCATGTACTTGGGATTTTTAAGTTTTATTTACCCCCTATCTATAAATAATGTACAGATAAAAGAATTTCTGAAACCTGGTCACACCTTTTGGTGTGACTTATAGGCTTTTGAAGTAAGTGGGGCATAGCTTTCGGCAAAATTAACATATAAAAGATTGACTAGGAGCTGCAGAGATAGCTCAGTATAATAAGCACCTGCCTGGCAAGCGCAAGGTCCTGAGTTCAATCCCCAGCACTGCAAAAAAAAAAAAAAGACTTAATTTTATTGTAAAAATAAATACATGATATCCTCAAGGGAAACAATGATTACTGGGACAGATAAATTATTTCTGAAGTTTTACTTGGAGCACATAAATAACCTGATTTTATGAGAAAAGAGGGCAATGAGCATAACTAAAATGTTTACATAATATTCACCTTTTTTGGAGCCCAAGTGTCACGGTTTTCATGTATCTGCTATGGCTTCTAATAATAATGAGCTGGGAGCTCTGTCTGACTTGAACAATATAGCTGTTAGGAAGCAAGAAATGGTGCTGAGTTGCACACAGACAACCAAAACGAATACAAACACACATAGACTTCCTGGTACTTAAATTCTTTTTGAGGTTAGAGATCTCCTTTTACAGAATTGAGTATACAACAGATTCAAAAATCAAACTTCCTCACCTCCCAATATTAAATAACTAAGTGTGAAAAAGAACCACCATTTAATAGGACATCAAAAGCTATACATTTTTCGATGAAACAATATGTGCACAGATTTTCAAAGCTGTGAAAATGCAATAAAGAGCACAACACATTTTGGTCACTTTATTAAATGACATTAAATAGTTTAAGTTTCAACTACTAAACAGCACTTTGAATGGTGAAAACACAGATAGTATATTGTCATACTTGAATGCTTTTCTTTAAAAACACAATTCCAGTCCTTATATATATTACAAAACAGCCTTACAGGAAGAAGTGACATCTTTTCTACAGTACTTAAGATACTAAATACAGAACTGAAAAGCATTCTAACAGAAACAAAGGCAAGTCTTCACAGCTGTTTGATTTCAGCCGCCAAAGCTGGATGATGGACTGAAACATTACTATACAACTGGGATAAAACATATACAAGATCACAATACTAAGCAAAAACGCTTTACACCCAAAGAAATAAAACAGGTTACAAAAAGTGGAGAATTTAGCAGGCAAAACTGTATTACAAGCAACATTTTAAATCGTCATTTTTAAGCCATTGCAACTATTTAAAACATCTAAAACAAATATAAAAATGAGCTTTTTAGTATTTTACTGATGTGATTTTTGTCTTTAAGTATTTGTTAAAATTTGATGCTATACTCAAAGTACATATTATGTAGCTAAAATGTCAAGTGAGAAGAGTGTATGCAAAGTGGTCCAAGTTTTATTTCAAACTCTGATTTCCTATTAATCCTCCTATGTAATTATCTTTTAAGTCATACCTTCATCCAAGGTGAAAAAGGTTTAAAAGGCTGCCTAACGTTTTTACATCTATGTCTCTGAGTTAGTAATTAGAGACCATGTTGAAAATTCCCAGGTCTAGTAAATCAGGTTTAAAGTATTCTGGACTTACAGAAATACCAACTGATAACAGTTGGCCAGAGTATACGGCTTTCGAATATTTATCTTATAAATCTTGTCTTTTTCATTTTTTCTAAAGTAAACACGTCTGCTTCCCACCCCAATTAAATAAATCTGATTATATGGCTGGCATAGTATCCAAATATATGGAATTTGTTAGTGATATTTTACCAGGGAAAAGCGGGGGGGGGGGGGGGGGGGTGGACCCACCAACCTCATAAATTACGTATCATAAACCTAGTGTTCTTGGATATGTTACCACTAGTTCTTCCAAGATAAAAATGGAAATCTCTTTATTATCCAAAAAACTCAATACAGTTCTAGCTAATGCTAAATTCACTCTAATCCAGTGATACCTAGAGTAAATCCTCCACCCAGCTTTCTTTTTACAGGAATTCCTTAGCTTTTCTACTGTTACATCACCATCTCAAAAGTGGTTTTACCATGTTGACTCCAAGAGTCAAAAACAACATTTTTCTTTAAGAAACTCAAGCAACCAAATTGAACACAAAATTATAGCTCCTTTTTACACATCTGAATTATGAAAAAGAAATGTAACTGATTTTTTAGTAAAACCTCAAAAAAAGTGTTAGATAAGGTAATTTGGATCATAAAATTGCCTCAGATCTAAACTGGTAGAAAAAAAAAATCCAACTTTAAAACAATCAAAGAAAAATGTAAGGAAATGGGGAAAGAACATGGTAATGAGAAAAAAGAAGCCCAGTGATCCTTATCTTTAAAAGGAATTATTTCACAATACTGACAGTCTGGGAATTGTTAAAGCACATTCCTTATGTGAACTTAAAAGTCAGCAACAGTTCTGCCATTTTGATGTTGTTTATAAAACAGGGTGTGAAGCTAACAACTTCAACATTAGCCTTCTAAAATGCTAGAACTTGATTTTTTTTTTTAGTCCACATCCCACTGCCAGCAACAGGATGAAGCACTAGCAACTGGCACCATGCAGTTAAGAGATGTGCTTTATATTAGTGCCAGGAGAGAGAAAAGGTAATCCACAACCCTGAAATTTCACCAGTAATTATTTCAGCACGTATAACTGAAAATAAAAAATGGCAGACTAAAGAAGAAAAAGGAATTCTCTTCTTAGGCTGTACTTAAGGCTGTTTATACAATGCTAAGATAACTGCAAGACTCCTCCAACTTTAGAGCAGTAGTATTTAAGAATATTGCACACAATTCTGTGTCAAAGATAACCCTTAGTTTCTGACTTTCAATCTTAAGAGACAATATAGCAGTCCAGTTTCAGACTTCAGTTCAAAGAATATTAAGACCGTTTCAATCACTCTAATCAAGAAATGGATTAAGTACAAAAGTATTTCATAAATTGAGGAATCAACTCTAAGAACTCAGCTGTGTATTTTTATATGTAAAGAATGGATATATAAATCTTTATTCTTTCCTAAATTCATTAATTTTATGACAATTCCATGGTTGCTAAAAGCAGGCATAAAAATTTAGAGAGGAAATCTGAGCTGTTCCTGTTATGGAAGGACTTGTTTTCACTGAAAACAATTTGAAATATCTTCTGTACTCAATGTGTGTAAGAAGATTCTAGGCAACATCACTGACAAATGTCAGGGAGAAATGGTATGCCCTATTTTAAAAAAATTTAAAACTAGGATGGAAGATTGGCATTTAAAGGGGACCAAACTATTTATACAGTTGAGTTCTGTTAAGTCATTGATTCCTAAAAAAATAAAAGATCTTTCTATGATTTTAACAACCCTTTAAGCTTTTAGTGCAAAATCACATGGATTTCCCTTGGGAAGGTCCTGGAGGTTTGCTTCTCATTGGGGGCGGTGCGCGCTGCAGCGGTGGTGGCTGCAGACCACCGGCCACTGACTGATACATTCCTCTCATATCAATCTGCTGGTAGTTAGAAGGATTCATGATTAAATTTGGAGGCTTTGGCATCATGAGGTGACCCAGTGTCGCTTGTTGGTAAGTCATTTGTTGCTGTTGCTGCTGATTGTACTGCTGCTGGAGCCTTCTGTTCATAAGTATTCTCTGAACACAGCTGATTAACTACAGAAAGAAAAGGGAGCTGTTACAAGCACATGACCTGTCTCAAAGCGGCAAGTATCAAGTTTTGAGTTAAAATCAATTTGTTAAGGGGGTACCATTCCAAAAGGAAAACATATTATTGTTATCACCATTACTAATTTGATGGCATTCACAGGACCATTACTGTAGAAACCAGTTAGTAACACCATTTAGGGCTAAATTCTCTTAATGACTTGACTATTGTATTACAAGCAGCATTTCGGTCAGTTGCCATAGTAACCCATCCTGCACTGTGATTAGTCTCAAGTATTAGTTACAGCACTTTCTATTAAGTCTCCTTTCTTTCTCACTCTTCTGACTATTTCACATGATGACAGACAAACATTTTAGAGACAAATACCAGAGGGAAAAAGCACTTGGAGTAGGACTAATTCCTACCTAGAAAGTCTCAAATTTCTTAAGATAATTTAAAACCGCAAAATTCTGCCATGCTTTCTAAGTAAAATTCATGCCATGAAAATTGATTCCCTGGAGTCAAAAACTGAAATTTCCCAGTATAAGGCAGATGGCAGACAAATGACTGTACTGGGAAAGATGACCGAGGATCCCAGAATATGCTAAGTTTTTGGAGAATTATATAATTTAGTAGGAATTTGTGATGTATATTACCCAGAGCGCATGAACTCTCGCGCGCTCACGCTCTCTCTCTCTCTCTCTCTCTCTCTCTCTCTCTCTCTCTCTCTCTCTCTCTCTGTGGTACCAGGGGATCGAATTCAGGACCTTGTGTTTGCCAGGCAAGCAATTATTCTACTTATTTTCAAATTAAAGTATAAAGTATACTTTTTGTTTTTGTTTTTTTGCGGAACTGGGGCTTGAACTCAGGCCCTTGTGCTTGCCAGGCAAGTGCTTATTCTACTGAGCCATCTCCCCAGCCCAAGTATACTTTTTAGAAACTGTTTAAAAATACTGAAGGTGGTGAAAATCTGGTGAATATACCTACGCACATGTCCAGAATATATGAAAAATGAAATAGATCCTCTACAAACTTGGAGAAGATCCACTTGGGAAGCTGTTGCTCCTTTGTTACAAATGTATGATTTTTTGACATTTCTTCTAGAATAAACAATTTCTTCTAGAATAACCATCCTTTCCTCCACAGGGATAGATATTGACATAAAATAATCACATGACCCATTGTTAAAAATTCAAGAAAATTAAAACACCTAGAGAGAATTCTTACCATCTGTTGTTTAGTCAATACATCATTGTAGATTGCTTCTCTTCGTTTAACATCAAGCTCCTGACTGGCTTGTCTACTTAATGCTAAAGCCTGTACTTGGGCCTCTGAGAGATTCATGTTTTCCTTCCACTGAAAGAAAAATTTTGTATTTATTCTTTATTATATAACTGAGGAAAAATAATTGAGATAATTAAAGATATCCACAAACTTACAATACCCCCTCCTTTATTCTTTGCTTTTTCAGTTCTGTATTGGGAATTGAACCCAGGGCCTTTGCACTAAGCTGCACCCCCAGCCCTTTTTATTACTTTTTATTTTGAGACAGGGTCTCACTAAGTCTCCAAGTTGCCCAAGCTTGAATTTGTGATCCTCCTGCCTTAGTCTCCCAAAATGCTGGGATTACAGGAATGCACAACCATGCCTATTTTCCTTTATTCATTCTGAAAAAAAAATAGTGATATAAAAGCAAGGTAGTAAAGGGCCAGGGAGATGGCTCAGTAGAATAAGCACTTCCCTGGCAAGTGCAAGGGCCCGACTTCAATCCCCGGTTCCACCAAAAAAATAAAATAAAATAAATAAATAAAAGCAAGGTAGTAAGTTGTTCATGAGCAGGGGCTGGCTATCTCTAGAGTGAATAACCACTGTATCTAGATTTCATTTGTGTGGGTGGCACTGCACATGTGTTTATACAATGTACACATTTTTGTTTGATTTCTTAAGTTTCAGAATTTTACCCAGGTCTTTTTGCCAACATGTATGTGATATGTTGGATTACAGTTTGGGACTATTGTACAGTTTACTAGTATTTTACTTTCGCAAATCATGTTATGGAAATTAAACTCATTTCCCCACAGAAGTAGTGAAGCAAATAATTAAAAATTAAAACAAATGGAGGTTGAAATAATACAACTGTAAGTTTGCTTACTACAGCTGAAATGATATCTTCAAGAGGCTGAATCCTCACTGCTGTCACACTATTTGTTGCTTCCACAACTTTTTCTCTTCCTTGGTTAATGAGGTCCTAGAAGAACATAAGAAATAGGTTATATAGGACAAAAAGACAGCATGATCTTAAAAGTGTAGGGATCTTTTCTCTTGCCAATATATATATAATCTCACTTGGTTTTAAAACTTTAAATAGGAGCTCCAGTGCCACAATTGGTTAGTGCGCAGTACTTCTACTACAATTAAATAATGAAGGAGCAGAATTCAGCATCAATGTTAATACGGTCTTATTAGGAAGATAAAAATTTGAGTTTATTGCACCAATAATTTCATGATTTAAATGAAGCATATATAAAAAAGAAACCAGAGATTTAATTATTAATCTATTGATATAAGCAGCCCAATCTCTCCTATTCATGATTATTCTATTTTAAAAACATTTATTTAATAATACTTGGCTTTACACACTTGATGGTACATCTACGGTATACTAGAATGTAACTTTATGAAGTTACTCTAATTTCAATCATTATGCAAGTAATTTCTTCATTCCAAAAAATTTATAATGAAGTGCTATTTTTCCCTAGCCATTCAGCTGCCCTCTTGTTCCTTAATTAAAATTATTCAAACTGCAATAATTCAAGGACTCATTCCTTTGGGCTCTGAAAAAAAAACGCATTTTACTTTATTATATTGGTTTCAAAAGATCAACAAATAAAAGAAGTTTATTGGTCTATTCACACAGGTAATCTTTGGAGTATGGATATTCATACTAGGGAACTCTTTGTCAAAAATAAGTCACTTGAATTTGCCTTCAATTCATGTTAAACTACTTTTGTACTTCACAACCTACCTCCAGCTGTTGATTACTCATTGCTGACAAGGCTCCCAAATTGAAAGGAATATAAGGAGTTTGAGAGTTGAAAGTGACAGGGGGTAAATTGGTCCCAGTTGGTATGTTGAAACGCATGGTCAGTCCCTAAAAACAAAAAAATTATGCACTTTTCACATTGTGATTTAAAACTTGAAATCCTACATCACCTACTGGTTTAGAAAAGAATCTATGTTCTCAGATCTAGGACATTATTAACAGTCTTCCACACACAAACAAAACACCCTTTTCACCTGAAACCAAGATCTTATTACACAGAAAGCTTTAACCCCTAAAGGTGTATTTTTTCTGGTAATTCCCATAGAATGAGGCAACTGAATTCTGATGAGACTTCTAACATCACATTAACATTAAAGAAATTCTGTACAATGAGTTAGGTCTTTTAAAGGGATTCAGGTATTAGGATAAGGTTTCCCCTGCTCAGGCACATATTTTGCTCAAGTGGGTTAGTGTTTAAAACAGACAGAATTATTTCAAATAAAGTTGCTGCTGAAGACTGACATTAATATTCAGTAATAAAGTATTTATGTTTGGCTATTCAGCCAAAATTCAGACTTAACGGTACATATGCTAAAACAATTCCTAACTCCAAACTCTAAGCTCCTATATGTTTGAGACTATATTCAGTGAGGATGTGGACGAGAATTAAATAACTAAACATATAGCTTCCCACTTGATTCTCAATTCAGCAAGTCTTAAGCAGAAATGTGTGTCCTCTACATGGAAAACATCTCTCCTTTCCTCTTACTCTACCATTAAATGCAGCTGAACCATCTAAACTGATTCTTATAACTGGCGCCATTATACCTGAAAGCCCTACTGTATTAGCAACCATTTCAAATGTGACCTTTTTCTTCTTCATTGCTCTTTCAAATGACTAAAATAAAAATCAAAACGCCTTTCTTTTTTTTTTTGAGATGGGTGTCTTGGTGTATTGCTCAGGCCAGTCCTGAATCCCGGGATCAAGCAAATGTCCTTCAGTCTCTTGACTAGCAGGGACTATAGGTTCATGTAACCACACCTGGTCAAAAAAATATTCTGAATAAACTACCTTCTTTTCTGCTTCATATTCTGCCCAAGCTGCTTTTCTTTCTTCTTCAGTTAACTCTTCTTCTTCTTTGTGGTCCAAAAGAGAATCATGTTCGTGATATCCTACAATGTGTTCTTTATGTATTTGAAGAAGTTCTGCAAGTATAGTATCCTGTTTAGAGGGGTTGAAATATGAGATAATTATTTTCATTCTCTGAATCATATCTCCGTAATTCTATGGTTAACTATTAAACTGGAAGCTAACTGCTTTACACATGTCTAAATATATAAATCACAGAGGAAAATTCACAAACATACAATATTACATTGTTTTGTTTGTTTAGCTTTTGAGATGAAATCTCACTATGTAGCCCAGGCTGGCCTTGAACTCGCAGTGATGCACTTGCCTTTGCTTCAACTCTCAATGTAATGTTCTTATGTCAGAATTTTATGTTCACAAGATATTCTGAAGATTGAATTTTTCAAAATGTATCATTATTTAGCTTTCAAAGTCTTTCTTCCCAACTTAGAAAATATTTTTACATGCACCGTTTCTATGCCTAGTTCTGTGTTCAGTTCGCTTAGATGCATGATTATATTGGATGATCTTGATAAAAATCACAGCTGCTCTTTATAAATATTTTAAAATTTTATTTTCACAATCATTTTAGCTACCAACCACTACACTAACAAGAATGAATGTAAATTAAACAGGTACAGGATAATTTAATTAGAATATAAAATCCTTAAATTTCGACTGCAGCAAAGTGAAAAATAAATTACATGGTAAAGACCCATGGATCAAATTTAAATTGGTATACATTTTCCAGCAATTTATTATTATAGTATTTTTTTAAAAAGAATGGTGTCCAAGGTGAGTCATGTAAGGTTAAACCATTAAATGCCTAAAAATCGGTTATCATTTATACATTCAGTAAAAATACTAAATTCTTGCCTTGTGTAACTGTGAGACAGAGAAACAGAAATGAGGTAAGGATTTTAAGTGAATTAATAATATGTCATTTTGCTAATAAAAAATTAAAATATTTATAAGATATTCATTATGAAATCACCAAAAAACCTGGATATTAGACTAATTCACATTGCAAAGAGATTTTTCAGTTTTTAACAAGTTCTAAAACATCTAAATTGACCTTAGAAAAGGAATGTAATTACTAACCAAAAGAAAGTATGAAGAACGTATACACCACATTAAACTCACATTTATTTCTATCTACTAATGCTTAATGCATACATAGACAAAGCCCACACTTGAACTAATTTTGTTGATACAACTATAACAGAATTTATAATAATTCATTTTCACAAGCAGCATATGTATTTCTTTTGTTGAAAACAGAAAACATTAAAGGATCACTCATTGGTACGTCATGGCTCATGCCTGCAATCCCAGATTTTAGGAAGGCTGAGACAGGAGGATCGCAAACTGGAGTCCCACCTGGTCAACTTAGTGAGACTGTTTGTGGGACACAGCTCAGTAGCAGAGCATTCCTGGGTTCAATCGCGAAGTACTGTTTAAAAATACATAAATGGTAATGCTAACAGGTTTACTTCCTTTGAGAGTTAAATGCGTCACTCTGTCCGATGTAGAAATCTGCCACCTTTTTGGCCCATGCCACACTGAACAGATTTTGATGCCTAGATCAGTCTCCAAAATACAGGTACTGACCAGGTAGGCAAAGAAATGTGACAGTCTACATTAATTCATCCCATTATAAGATAATGTTTCCTGAGGCTGTTGTGTACCTTAATAAGGAAGCACTTGCCCAGCATATGACAGGTTCTGGGTATGATCCCCAGAACAACAGCAAAAAAGTTAATGCTTCCTTAGATGTATGAATCCATGTCCATCCCGTAAAATAGGGCTAAGGAGAGACACAATGATAAAGCCAGACAGCACTAATATAAAGCCAACTGTTCTACAATACACTAAATAAATTATAAAACAAATACTCTGTGGACAGTCCCTGATTTTATTTCTGCTGGGCAAAAAGTGATAACTTTTTTTTTCAGACAAGGTCTTTCCATGTAGCCCAGACTGGCTTGGAACTCATGGCATTCCTTCTGCCTCAAGCTCTCTAGTGCTGGGATAACAGGTATGCACCAACACATCTGGCCAAAAATCTTAACCATTGTCAATATCAGTTAATTTCTCTAAGAAAGCTATATAAGCAAAAGACCAAAAAACTATGCAGTAGAAACTTTTCTTTCTTTCTTTCTTTCTTTTTTTTTTTTTTTTTTTTTGTCTTTTTGAGACAGGGTCTCACTATGCAGTTCAGGCTGAACTTGAGCTCACTTTGTAGCCCAGGCTGGCCTTGAACTCATAGCAATTCTCCTGCCTTAGCTTCTTGAGTGCTAGGCATGTGCCACCATACCTGGCTTATTAGCAGGAACTACATTTTCAGTTGTATCACTTACTCATTTTCTATATAATGTTAGATAATAACTTACCCTAGATACAAATTTAAGTTAAACATGAATGAAATATTCTTTGCTCACAGACATACAAAGATGAGAATAGCAGAATGAAGACATCTTATTCTTTCAAAATAAACAAAAAAAATAAATACAATGCAAACTAAGTATAGTGTTTACTTCTCAACTATAAACACCACAATTCATACACTTTGTATGTGTAGTTGAAGGGGAAGCCTTTCCAGAAATGCACATGTTAAGAAAAGTGTACATACACATACATTCTCACTCATTCATAGACATTATTTTAAAATGTCTGAAATATCAGGGAGCTTTATCAGGTCAGTCCTTAGCATTCTATAATTTCAGAACCCAAACATCATGTTGGAATTAGGAGAAATTGGAGAACACAGAGGCAAAATAAGTTTTCCAATTACACAGCTAAGAACTAACCAGGACTAGAAATTCAATTTCCTGCTGCCTGCAGTGTTCTATCATACTACAAAGAATGTCTGTTTTATTAAGGCAAGGTTCCTCCATTTGCCCTCTATTTCCCAGATCTATTCTTTCAGATAAAAAAAAATAACATTAGGCATGGTGGCACATGCCTGTAATCTTGACTCTCAGGAGACTCCATGAGTTTGAGGCTATCCCGGACTACATAGGGAAATCTTGTCTCAAGAAGATAATCGCTAAAGCATTCTGGTGGACAGAGAAATCTAAATGGTACATTTGTTTCACTTTTAACTTTTTTTTAGACAGGGTCTCTTTATGTACTTCAGACTGGCCTTGAACTCACTATGTAACCTAGTCTGGCTTTAAACTAAGGATGATCCTCCTGCTTCAGCCTGTGGAGTGCTGTGATTACAGGCATGCACCACCAAGTCTTACCTTCAACTTTTTGACATTTTCAAAAACAAGCATAGGTTAAAGTAATGAAAGAAAATTACAAACAAGGGGTTGTAATCTCAGTACTCAGGGAAGCTGAGCAGGAGGATCATAAATCCAAGCCCATCTCTGGCAATTTTAACAAAACTTGTCTGAAAATAAAACATACAGTTCATTTGAAAAGGCCCTGGGATCATTTCCCAGTGTCTCTGTCTCTCTGTCAGTCTAGTCGGTCTGGTCTGTCTGTCTGTCT